TATTTTAATGACTAACATTGAAGTTATTTTTTGTTTGTTACAGAAACGGTTGCCCATAAAGTTCATGAATCACTCGCGAAAATTTTTTGATCTATTTAAACCTAGAGCGGATTGGTTCAATGATGATGTTGTTGGATTCAAACTTGCGGACTATGTGGTACTGGTTATGGTACTATAAGCCATAACATGCAGGGGACATTTCTCGAGAGATGGCACAAGGAATTGTTGTATTTCCACTTTCCTGCTGAGAAGATGATGATCACACTTGATGATGTGGCATGATTGATCCACCTACCTATCAGAGGGAGGTTACTGAACCATTCATGGGTACCATGTGTTGAGGCAGTTGAATGGATGGTCGAGCATTTGGGAATTCAACAAGAAAAGGTAGCAGGAGAGTGCAGATCAACTAATGGTTCGCATGTCAAGTTCTCCACCCTGAGCAAACTATATAAACTACACTTGGTTGCTGCAGCAAGGGCCGAGGATGAGGGTGATGAGTTTTTTGTTCAGTACCATCGAGATTGTGCTTTGTCGTGTTACTTCATGTTTTTGGTTGGTACGTCCCTCTTTGTGAATAAAAATACAACCTACGTGGATGTGGCATACCTCTGATATTTTATGGATTTGAGTACAGTTAATGAGTGGAACTGGGTGGCCACCATTTTGGTATACCTCTACCAGAAGCTGAATGAAGCTTCAAACTGGAGGATGAGGCAACTGACTGGCTCTTGCATACTCCTCACGGTACCTTTCATTCCAACTATTACATTTAATTTGTTATTAATAATTTGTACTTACATATTCTCTGATTCATGTTTTAGAGCTGGATCATATCTCACTTCTACTGCATTCATGGCTTCGAACATGATCTGGAATATAGTGATGACATGTCGAGGGTTGCAAAGTACATCCTCCACAAAGGGAGTCATGTTGTTCCACCTTATTGTGTGTATCTCGATCGTACTAACCATGATGACATCAAATGAGCGTCGTTCGAGGATCACATGGATGTTGTCCCCTTCGACCATGTCTCATTATACTCCGGGTGGATAACATGTGGGTCAAACATTATGGTCAGGTATCTTCCAGAGCGGTGCATCCGGCAGCTTGGCTTTGTGCATATGATACTGAGATCTCCTTTTCAGGTTGATCCCGACACCATTGTCTGTTGGGAACTCGATGATATCTTTCAAGATTGGGAGAATTATTTGGTGCTACAGGAGTATCAGATGATGCCGACATCCGAGAGTTGACATTGTGTATAGAGATATGTGGCATGGTTCTTTAAAGTGTCGCATCATATCATGACACTAGATGGTCCTGGAAGTCCATCTAGACCATCTCATGAGGAACTCTTGGAGAACCAGTAAGCCGAGGATGACCATGCCACTGATGTCTTGCTGATATGTTAGAGGATACACACACTTGGGCAGGATGCATTGGATATAAGGATCATTGATAGGGGCGGTCTTGAGGCGATGGCCATCGTTGACAGGATGGTTAGTGAGGCAACCCGTGCGGCGAAATATAGGAGGAAGAGGAGGTCACAAGGGGGTTAAGATTAGGTATACACAGTAGTAGTAGCCTATGTTATTTTGTTTTATTTTATCGATGTAATATTTTGCTATTACACACTTTCTGAACAACTGATGTATTATATTTCTGTATTTCTGAACATTTAATTTAATTGTTAAGTTCGTTTAATTTTTCGTTCAAATCGTATCATTTTATGTTTGTTCTTTTTCCCGTTTGTCCGTTTATTAGGTAATGGTAATGAGGATGTTTTAAAAAAATGATACAAACAACCAAAGTTTTGAATATGCATATTTGAAACCTCTATTTTCATATACGCGTGGTGTTTTCGGATATGCTTATCTAAAACACACAAACTAATGCGTTCAGATATGCATATTCGAAGGACATTTTGGATTTTCAGAAGTGTTTTTCATTATATAGGAGTGACTTAAGAAATCCTCATCTAACTATGTGTGTATACATGTTGAATTGGACTGAGTTCGACCTAACCCGTTATCAAATGCTTTTAGATTTCAATGCGTTGGATCCAATGCAATTTTCTTATAAAAACTAAACCAAATAAACTCAATTATTAAGGTTTGCAAATTGTGGATAAAATATGATATTTCTAATTATAAAAAGATCATTTTACTTGCTTGTTCTTCAAGCAAACCTTCCACCTTTTTCAACTTGAGCGCATCATTATTACGAAGAACAAGTAAATCTTTCACCTTTGCAAGAATATGTATACAAACAAAATGATCATTTTGATTTGCGAGTTATATATAAAATAAGAAAGAAAATGCTAATCTCATCCTATAAGATGGAAAAACACCGTATAAAAATTTAAAAATATTCTTCAAATTTTAAAAATGCATATTTTGAATGCACTTATTCACACATAATTAATTTATTTTTGAGCTACACCTCAATTCCATACTTAAATTAATTCCAAAAAATATCTCTGAAATGTTTCCGAAAATACACATTTTCCATACCTACTAGCCAAAAACGTTGCATCAATGGTGTGGAAATTGAAGAGGGTTGTTATGGTCAATTTCATCATGTTATTTATTACTTAAAAAATTGTAATGTAAAGGAAAATATGAAATACAGGGAGCTACAACCTGTGCGTGCAGTTTGGAGCAATTATTAGTCATAAAAAATGAATTACATATAACTATTATAAAGACTTCATTTTAGTCTTTTAATAGAAAAAAAAAATGGAACAAAATGCTTCAGATAAAATACAGAGAAAGTGACTGTTGGTAGAGTGGTCATTGTTTTCATTTCTTTGTTTTAGAGTTATAAGTGGTATAGTGGAATAGATAAAATTGATTGGTCTAGTTGAACATTCCAAAATAATTGCAGTTTACTCACAAAATGATCCAACCAATTTTTTAAGTTTAAAAAATTATCTTCTCTATCCTTTCAAAAATAAGACCCAGCACTCACAAAATGCACTTGACTGGGTGTAACTGCAGAGTTTTCAACTGCAGTGAATCTAAATCCCTGCAGTGTACTCACAAAATGATCCAACCAATTTTTAAGCATATTTTTGTAAATACATTATAATCATTATAATCATATAATCATATAATTGGATGGTTTAATTTTGTATTTATTACGTATTTTAGCATATTTTGTAATTCTCCCAGTTTTGTTTTGATCAACAACTCAATTTTAAGAATTGGGATAGTGATACATATATGTAGCTACTAATTTGGTACAATTAAAAAATTAACGTTTTTATTTGTTTTCTGGTATAAAAAGTTGAGTTTTAGTGTTGTTGTGGTTTAGTTTATATAATTTGTATGTTTTGAATAATAAAAAAATTTAATGGATAAACATTGATAATATAAAATAATTTTACACAATTATCTACTAATAAATGAATAGTTTATTATATTATTAAATTTTTTTTAAGAATAAAAGAGTAACATGTCTTTATACATGATTGCAATTGGTTGACTTTATAACTAACACTCATTTAAAAAAAATTGCATAAACAAATACTTTCTAATTATTTTGAAATTACTAAAAAAATATTATAAATTATCTGATGACAAATTAAATTATACTCTACTGTCATCTAATAATAAATTAACAATTTATTATATTATTAATTGTTTTTAAAATAAAAGAATAATGTGTCTTAATACATAATAGTAATTGGTTGATTGTAGCTAACGCTGATTTTCTCATAAAAAAATTGCATAAGCAAATACTTTTTAATTATTTTGAAATTACTAAAAAAATCTTATAAATTATCTGATGACAAATTAAATCATTCTCTATATGATTAAATTATATGACTACAATGTTGCAATGATATGACTACATTATAAAATATATATTTTTTTTTTTTTTAAAAAATCAAAAATTAACGTGAGAGATTTGATTAATAAATATTATCAAATTATTGTACTCTATATTAGTTACATTTCTAATGTATTGAAAAAAAAAATTTCTAATGTATTGAAAAAAAACAATTATGTTTAAGTGACTATTTAGATACAATTTCATAGGTTTGATTCATTATTTATCTCCAATAAAAATATGACAAATGTATTTAAATGTCTTTTAGAGAGTAAAAATTAAAATATATATATATTAAAAATTATACATTTACAATATTTTCATTAAAAAATATCATATTTTCATTAAAAAAAATATAAATCACACTTTAAGAAATTATATTTAAATTTTTTCTTATGTTCATGTCATTAAATATAAAATCGAAAACAACTAATTATATTCATTACATAAGCATGAGTCTTTTTTTATTTTATTTCAGAGATATTTTCGAAAATACATCTCCGAATTAACCTCGAAAAAATTCGAAGATGTAACTCGAAATTAAATTTTTACAAAAAATTGTATTGATGCGTCTGAAGATATATTTAAAAAAATCGATGATATCTTAGAGTTTTTAAATGTGTGCTCCATTGTATAAAGATGTAAAGAGAAATTGTCAAAAATAATAAGAATACAGAAACTGCACCTTTTTAAATAAAAAAAATCACGACAAAAATATCAAATTATTTTTATTTGTTTCTTGATTTTATACAAATATTTAAAAACAAATATGGTAATCAAAATGAAATGATATTTTATATAACTAAAACTAAACACAACACTCATGGCCTAACTAAGGTATAAGTAAAGTTTGTTACAATAGCTTTCCAGAAAAAGTCAGCTAAAATTTGCAAAGCCTCACTTTTCCAAGAAAAAAAATTAAGAAACAAGAAAGTTAGTCCAAATTAACTGATAAAAAATTAAATTAGAAGATTATTATATAAATTAATTAATAATATTGAAGTGAAATAATGATCAAGCCTTTGGGCACTGCCAAATGAGTTCAAAGTCTTGGTGTATGTTGGGTTGGTTGAATGGCCTCCGCGAGTTTAGAGCTCTCTAACCGTGGTTAGCTCCAATGTGTAACTTCTGGTCCACTGTGATTTTGGTTTTTTAACATACACTTATTCATTTATTATCCTGTTGCGGGAAGAACCTGAACGCCCGGGCTTCCTATTTGCAGCAGCACTAAGCAGTGAATCCCGTCTATGTGTGGCACAAGCTAAATATTCTTGCAAAGGTGGAAGGTTTGCTTGTTCTTCATCTTTAGATACTTGTCCCCGAATAATCTGTCAAACCATGAACAAATATGAACAAATGCTATTATTTAAATGATACTTCAATACTATATAACAAACTGGAAATTGAATTTTTTATTCTTCTGACCTTTGATGCCCAGGATCGTTCCGCTTGCAGACAAATATCTCTAATATCTCTTCCAGCCATACTGAAACAATAGCAACCAATTAGCAAGAAAATAAAAAATAGTGCAAAACAATTTAAATAACTGTTACTTTTCTGAGAAGGGCGTAAAATGCTAACGTTAGAAAAAATGGCTAAGATCTGGTTACTAATATTCAATATCAATATTAAGAATGTGCATTGGTTGGTAGAAGTTAAGAAGATGAATACATCTTCCCACATCTATCAACAATTAGTCCGACTTACTCTTCTGTAGCTCGTGCAAGTTCATCAAGTTCGGTTTTGGGCAGGTGCTTTGCATATTTGGATGCTATTTCTTGACGATTATGATGATCAGGTAAACCAAAAGCGATCATAGTATCAAACCGACTACAAGATGAAAAAACAGCTAGGTTAAGATGCTCGGCTCCTACATGAACAATTATGCAATCTTTGCAAGCTAAGAGAAATTTGTCTTAAACTCACCTAATTAATGCAGGATCAAGATCTTCCTTTCTATTTGTGGCAGCAATGACAACCACTTTCTTATCCTGCTCAAAGCCATCTATCTGCAAAATTTATTCCATCCTCAGTCAAATTCTCTAAAAGTTTAAACTTTCAGCCAGTTGATATATTTTGAATAAGCTGTTAATAGTTGATGCATGAATGAATAAAAACATACTAAAATAAGAAATATCACAGAAATAAACCAATTTCCTCTCTAAGGGTATGGCCAACCCCACTAAAACCGCATTATACCAATTTTTCCTTGCCCCCCGAACTCTACTCTAATTCCCTTTATCACCCCGATCCTATTCTGTAAGGATTCCCATTTTCTCTTCCAACCCAGCATACTCCTTATTCTTAAGAACTGTGATTTGGGTCTAACTCAACCTTATAAAACCGGCTTGTAAGGTGAGGATTGCCTCCACTTATAAACATATATTGAGACCAAGTCTTTTTCGACTCTTCAACATTTCTCATCGTTTGGCTCATTATATATTACCTAAGTCTCTCTTTGTCTCTTTCTGCAATACGGGCCCAACAATTTTATGATATTCTTCTTATCAGTTAACAAACTAATTACTGTATTAAGAAAATAAGTCTACAGCTTCCTTGGTTACAAACTAACAATATAAAGCAGTAAGCAATAATATTAACCTGCCGCAATAATACTGACAATAATCTACGTGTAGCTTCATGCATTTCGCCATCACGAGCAGCAGCTAAAGAATCAATCTGTATGTCAAGAAAAATACAAACAACACATAGGGAAATCAAAATGGAAAATCAATAAGAGGCACATAGTAACTCCACAACAACATTTATCACTTGATTACCTCATCCAAAAATATAATAGCGCCATTGGGAAGACTGTTTGCTAGTGAAAACACTTTCCCTAGAAGGCGTTCACTTTTACCATAGTATTCAGACATCACTACCTCAAGTGGAACATAAAGCAAAGGGACGCCCTGCCAAATCAAGTTGAACACCAATTTTGAGTTCACTACATGATTCACTCCACATAATTTCTATTGTAGAGTAGAAGACATACTAGGAGTGCTATGGAACCAAACTCAGATAAAATACAACCCCCTAAATTAAAGTTGCATGAACAGTTTTCCTCGTGAAAAATAGAAGATCCTACATCCTCATAAGTGACCACTGAGCAACAAAAGTAGTAACATGCAACTTTAACATATACCATGTCCTTTTGTCAAAAAAGGTTTCCGAGACAGCTTTAATTTATTCATTTTCTCCTAAATTAAGGGCAAGGAAGGATAATCAGGAACCAGTGAGACAATAAAGCTTACCGCTTGATTGGCAATAACACGGGCACAAGAGGTTTTCCCTGTACCTGAAACCATAAAATATGCCACTCAAACATTATTTATACATTAGAAGAATGAAAATTAAATGCTGTTCTATCATCATAGGCAATTTCTTTTCACTAAATTGAGATTCCAACATTATAGAAAAACGGTTCAACTGACACAGTTTCTTATCAAAACAATGTCACAATGTCATACTCAATACTTACGATCCAATACAAGAAAAAGTAGCAGTTTGAAAATCACAGGTACACATTTGATGAGCCAAAGTAAATAAATAAAATACTTATGTTGTATTCATGTCCAAACCATTTAAGAGCTCTTAAAACGTTAAATAGTAAGATGAAAATTTTCAAAAAAAAATAAATTGTAGTTACCAAACTGTACCCCAACTTTCCACAATTAAAGAAGTCTGGTCATTTTTAAAACTAATAATTAAAAGAGAAGGATATATGAACAAGTTCTGTATCATGTAGTTGTTTCAAATTCCTTATCACAGTTTAAGAACATGGTTTCCGTTACATGACAACAATCCTTACCAAACAATGCCCCCAATCCTTTTAATTTTTCTTTTTTTTTTTAAATAGAATTGAATTAATGTCAAAACAGAACATAGAATATATATTCATAATTAAGCATGCCGTAAATCTTCAAACTAATCAATTAAATATTCAACATATAAAATAAGCTATAGAGACAAACCTGGTGGACCTTCAAACAGTACGGCTCGAGGCCTGTTAGACTCAAACTTATGCCGAGTCCCGCGAGCAATATCATCATATACTTCAGGACTGTGCAAAGCCAATAGTATTGTATCTTCTATAACCCTATAAAATGTTTGATTGAATATTAAGTAAAACTGAAGTACTTTACGCATACTGGTAAGTGAATCCCATAGCGGGAAACACGTGTCAACAAAAATGAAGAATGGGATGCGGGAGATGAAAACAAATTTCTGAGGTTAATGATCCAAACCCAACTCACTAAGGAGGTTGAGTACAAAGGGAAAAGAAGCTATCTTGCAGCTCAGGAATTATTTTACAATTTCGGTTAGTTGTCGCCTTGTTGGCAAAAGAGTATCGTGTGCGAAGTGGGTTGTTGGCTGTGAGGAATCCGTGTAGAAACTTGAAGCTGGTCGTGTTGACAATAGGAAGAAGATTTTTGCAGGGAGATGGCCACAGGGAGTCTATGTCTAAGAAGTTTTTTTTATCCTAGTAGAACCCACATGATGTCAATGGTTGCATGTCAAGTCAACGCTAGTAGAGTTGGAGACTTGAGACAGTTAGACCAATGGAACTTTATTTTCAACTACTACAATCTATTTAAGTTGAGGATAATGTGAATATTGAAAGGGGGGTATTGAGAGGTACCTCTCTATGTTCTTTAGAAGGTAAGACCAATAATTATAGTGTGTGATGATAGGCTATAAGAAAGAGGAAAGTAAGTCGGGGGATGGTAAACTTTGCTTTTGGAAAGGAAACCAGAGTGAGAGTGAACCAGTCTCTCAAATACCTGAAATTTAATAGTTTTTTTTATGAATAAAACATTATTTTCTTTTGTATTTAGAGCCAATTCCTACCAGGTCCACTTGTATCTCAGGTATCAAATGACAACAACTAAAAATCTTTGTCAACAACATATGTTGTCTAAATGCAAAACAACACGAAGATAAATAGAAAATAAACAGAATATCCAAATTTACATAGATTCACATACCGTTTTTGATGCTCGTACCCAGCGATGTTGTCCCATGATATTTCATTGTTTGATGTGCCTATGGGTTCATTGAGTCCATATGTTCTTACTCCCATGGCCTCAAGACTAGAAATAGCTTTATCTACAGACGGTGTCTGTTCGATCTCTTCCCATGACTTTTTTTCCAGGGGATTTCTTTCTACCAACTTGTTACCAGCTAATTGTAAAACAGATATGAAAGCATCAAGCTCTTCGGGACTCAAGTTCCCTTGCTTCATAAATTCAATTTCCTGCAATGATGGCCGAAGATAACTTTTTGATGAATGAATGATTACCTCATTTTTTAATGCATAGATGCACAACACTGTGAACATCAAATTAAGAAAAAATGGGAAACTGAAAGCTTACAACTTTATCTGAGCCAACGAGAGAATGAAATATAAGTATACGTAGATCTCTATCATGTGCATTTGTATCTGCTGAAGACGGTTCATTCTGTTGAATATGCTTTTGCTTTGATGGATGAGTAAGGGTAAGTTGCCAAGCAACCGTGCTGTGGATAGAGCACAACAAAGATTGATAATTTTAACTATTATAAGCCATAAACAAGTGCATTAACATTGCTTGTGTCACAGAAACTGAAAATCAAGTACCTGTCCCATGCACGCAAAATCATATCTGAACCACCGCCGTGGCCTTCAGATTTCAGTCCAAGATGTGCAGTAAGATTTGCAATAAGTTGTGAAACTTCACAACCAGGAGGAGTTTGAAACTTTATACTGACCTGAAATTATAATTCTCCCATCAGAAATAGATTGACTACTGTTGCAGTAAAATAACATCGCATTAATAAACTAGCACACAGTAGTTGAAAATCATGTCTTTTGATTTTTAAGAAAAAAAAGGTTGAAACCGAATCATGGCATCCATGAAGTCAAAAACTACTATATGAAAAAGATTATCTAGGTTGAATTTAAAATAGTATTGGATATCATCTATGAAAAGTACTGAGTGACAGACAAACTTGAACTCATATTAGCTACCAGTAAAGAAGGGTGAAAGCAGTACTGTAATGTTAAGAACTGGTAAAATCTGTTAGCTTCTTTATTACGCATTAAAAAAGGAGAGGGAGTGGAATTGAAGTGTGGAATTTTTGTTCTTTTTCTGGTAAGCCTGATTTTCTAGTTCACAGTTACAACTTTTCAAAAACATGACATGTATCATAAATCCGTCTCATTTTATCTGCCACTCTTGGAACACTGGCTTGTGCCAAATTATATACAGGGTATGAAGAACAAACAAAAAAAGTATTTACAATATCAATTAATTTTAATCATCAGGTTAAAAAATATTTGACTTTAGTCATGATTACTTCTAAAGTCGCTCATATGAACATTAAGTTTCCTTTAGTATAATATTATATCTTATCATATATGATTTTTTTCATTTTTGGATACTTGAATGAAGTTAGTCAAAGGGTAAGAGTAGGACAATGCAGAAGGAGAACCTAATATCATATATGATAAATTAATTGAGTGTTACTAACTTGTGTTAATGAATACAACAACAACTATGTCTTACCCCACTAGGTAGGATCAGCTACATGAATCAACTTTCGCCATAATATTTTATTAAAGATCAAACTTCTATCCAAATCATTAATCTCGAGATCTTTCTTAATAACTTCTCTTATAGTCTTTTTGGGTCTTCCTCTTCCTCGAATTGTTTGTCTTCTCTCCATCTGGTCTACTCTCCCTACTACATAATCTACAGGTCTTCTCTCTACATGCCCAAACCATCTAAGTCTATGTTCCACCATCTTCTCTACTATAGACGCTACCCCGACACTCTCTCTAATATTTTAATTTCTAGAAATCGCGTGTTAAAATTTAAAAGAATTGAATGCTGGTCTTTTAATACTTTTATACTACTAAGTACTGAGTTTCTAACTTGTGCCCTTAAAGCACACGTTACCATTTTTTTAATTAATTATATATTCTAAGATAATTAGGCAAATCATACAATAACAAAAAGCAATAACCTTCTGGCCCTTAACAGCTACACTGAAGTGAGGACAAGAACCTTGTCGAATTCCCCTAGTTTTAAGCAAGTCCTGAATTCTCTCTCGTTCCTTCTTAGCAATCTCTTGCACATCTTCACAACCTTTATCGGCATACGCAGTTTCCACCATTCCAATTCCAAACAAACCAGCCAAAACAGCAGGAAGCATCGAATAAGGTCTGGAATCTCCGCACAAAGCTCTCGAACTGGAAACAGCAGAGAAGGTGGATCGTGCATATGCAGATTCTACTTCTACACAGAAATAATCAATAAAAATATTGTTAATAAATAATTGAAAAGTAAAATTCAGTGAAAGTAAAAACGAATACTGAAGAGAGAAAGGTACTTGAGTGAAGGCGGTGTGAGAATTGAGTATTTAGGGTTTGGGAAGAAGGAAGAGAACGGAAACGCGAACGGCAGGCTCGAGCAGATCGAAGTAAATGCTCCATTGGAGAGCGGTGAAAGGACATCCAGTGATGATGCGATGGTGTTGCTAACTTGCTATTGATGTGAGAATTGGATTCACTGTTGCTAACACTTTTCCTGCTTAGCAAGGCAACGAGTGTTGAATACTTACGCTACTAGTTAAACCCATAGTGGGTTTAACTCGGCTAAAAAACCGAGCAAAACTGTATTTCATACCTCCATTTCTAGTTAATTATAGGGATTTCTTAAACACCGTATATAATTGAATTATGTGGGACCTATTTCTAATGAAGAACTCATACTTATTTCAATTAATAAAAAATTGAGTGTTTAAGAGAGTATTGAAAAACACTTCTCTTTTGTAGTTTTTCACAACTTCAGGCAATAGATATGAACATGATATTATAATAGAAGTTCTTTGAGTATGAATAAGAGGATTACTCAATCTACTTTTAATGATGCTTAGATATTTTCATTATAAATATTTTTAAATATGGAAATATATATTTTTGGACGTATTCAAAAGTTAACACCATAGCATTTAATAATTGAGATATCTTTATTTTGTTGTAAATTAATACTGAAATATATTTGCGCAAAAATCTATAGAAGTATATCTCCGAATGCATTTTGAGTTATATTACCGCATCAAACCTTCTTCCTTCTTCATTTCCATTTGAATTTACCCTAAACAAAAAAAAAAAAAGCTCGTGAGAAATCCCACTCCCATCATTTTCAACATTTCTCACAACTTCTACTACATTGAATTTAATCTAAGAGTTTTCTCAATCTCCGCTTCACCTCATTCAATCCAAGAGCGTCTACTTCTCACATTAAGTTTTTTTTTATTTTCTTTCTTTTTTTGATTTGTGATACATGCATTACTTAAATAGGTTGTTTAAGATATATTAGGTTCAAGTTACACTCATAATACATAGTTTATTGAGTCGTGTATAAACATTTTTTGAAATTTATAGGATAGGCTATGTTGGGTTTATGCGTTTTCCGTCATTTATGAGTTTCATGTTTTACGGATGAGCACTTTTGTATTTTTTTCTGAATTTGTTTTTTCTGAGTTGCGAAAGTGCACTTCATATTTTGTATACATTTCCTTAGTTTGTTTGATTTTGCATGTATGTCATCTAGATTTGAGTTTTTTGATTGTGATAGAAATTTTCTAGTTTAGTTATATGTAGAATGACTGACAACCAAGATAGATTGAGAAATATTAGAGTGTCTCTGCATGCATCTGTTTGCAACGAGGGAGTTATGCCACTCTAAAATCTCTAGACTTGATGCATTGGAAATGATGGTGCAATACTTGAGAGTTGACTCAGGTGATGCCCAAAAGGAGATGGATGACACTAGAGAGTGTCGTGCTAGATTTTTATTTTGAGAGAGGTTGTATAAATACCACCTGATTGTGGCAATGGAGTTCGATGGTGATGATGCAGAGGTTTTACATCATAGAACATGTGCATTGAGGTCATATCTCGTGTGTTTAGTTGATATGTCCATATTTATATAAACAAGTGCTTATTATATCGATGTCGTTTATCTTAGATACTTCATTAACTTCGAGCGAATTCATAAGTACAACTAGGTTCCGCTTGTTTGGTTTACCTGTACTCGAACTTAGGTGAAGCTTGTCTTTGGAAGACTAAACATATGACAACAAGCAACACATTGTTTACGGTAATATTGTTGCACTTTTACTGGTACTAATATTCCATAACACATGTGCTATATTGTTAGTAATATTTTATCTGGTAGCTTGAAATATTTACCTGATAGTCTGCAATACTTATCATTGTACTGCAACTCGTATTGTAACCCTAAAAATCAACAAACACAAAAAAACAAGAAAAATGCTAACAAGACTGAAAACTAGGATTATGTAATTGGATAAAATCAACAGAGAGTCTCCGACAAAGGCGCCAATTTGATTCGTTGTCGCACCTAGGTCAAAAATGAGTTTACAAAACGTAGTAAAAGGGAAGCGACACTAGAGTACCGTATCGCAAGGACTCTTAGATGTAATTAACCAATTGATTGTAACAATGGGGGTTTAGGTTTTGATTCACAAAAAGTGATTAAAAATAAGTGATTATGAAATAAGCTAAAACGAATCAACCTACAGTTCAGGTTCCCAACTTATCATTGGTAATTATAAATCCAAACCTCGAGCGAATTACAATCCCTGTTCTGGACTGGGCCCGACAGGCCCAAAAGCATTACTAAGGCCCAGTCCAATGGGACTCACTAAGGACCACAACGTCCATGCCCGACACCCTGATGTCCACCTCGACATCTCAGTGTGCCAGCCCACGCGACGAAGTCACGCTCGACAGACTGCCGTCCAGCTCTATGCCCTGGCTTCCAGCTCGACATTCGCTGTCCAGCTCGGGGTCTTGGCGTCGAGCTCGACATCATGCTGCACTGCTCGACATGGACTCGAGCTACCTTGCTAGGGCAGACTCAGTCACCATTGCCCCAACGATACTCCGTAAAGACCGCGTCTCTGTCCGCCCGCACTTCACGCACCACATCCAGGGAGGGGACCACGTGCTGATCCCCACTACCCACGTAGGACCTGGCAGTTCCTCCATTGGGCCAAATCCGCCCGGCCCAGTGAAGGAACCTTGGCCCAGCGCTGGGGGCTATAAATACCCTCTGCTTCCAGAGGGTCAGGTAATCTTCAATTCTAACCTCAACTCTATTATCTGCTAGTACTCCCACTGACTTAAGCATCGGAGTGCCTTGCAGGTACCCCCCCTCCTCGTTCAAAAAGCCTTCAGCTCGGAGCAGCCGTGACGGTCCAAACCTTCTGATCAGGTCAGATCAGTGGCGCCGTCTGTGGGAAACAGCTTCCCCGTCTAACGAACAGTTTTCAAAGACCAAAGCTCAATCCATTCACTGTCATGGCCTCTCCAACTCGTGAAGAACAACACACTCGCGTCCTCGACGTCAACAACGGTCCCGCGGACAAGAATGGGCACCTGGACAATCCCAGTGGTGCCGGCCACAATGCCGCCCCCCTGACAACCGCCCCTGGACCTTCCACCCGCAGGGACGGTCACACTGCGTCCTCCTCGACAACTCCCCCGGAACTCGAAGACGATCCGGAAGCTCTCGCCTATCGCCAGGCTGCCCGGTTCTATGAAGTCCAAGCCCCTGCCGGGGCAGATGCCACTGCTCAGGCACTGTTCGCGGCCATCAACCAGACGAACTATCTCCTGTTTGCGCAAGGAGAAAGACTTAGGGCGCTGGAAAATGATCGACGCCCCCCGAGGAGGCATCAAAGGCCACCATCTCCACTTCCTCGGGTCGAAGAAGTTCGACACCCTACTCCCCCGCGGAGACAGTACAGGGAACATTCTAGGAGCCCCTCTCCCGCACCAAAGCAGAGGCGGCCCCAGTATGAAAGACAGCCCGTCATTCCTGCCGAAGAGCCCGTTCGCGACCCATCAAGGCACGACCGGAGGCACAACAGGGACGGACATGTGACTTTCGCCCACCGAACATCACGTTCAAGGGAATCCCAGCACGAGCACCGTGCCCGACACAACTACAGGACCCTTTCTCTTTCTCCAGAAAGGAGCGACGAGGATGACCCCCGCGGTCCCCTGTCGCAGGCAATCATGGACGCACCTATCCCCCCGGGCATGGAGAAGCCCCCACACCTAAAGGAGTATGATGGAGTGGCGGACCCAGTCGACCACATTGACGGGTTCGAAGCCATGCTCCACTATCACAATGTCGGGGGTCCCATCAAGTGCCGCCTCTTCCCAACAACTCTCAGGAAGGCGGCCATGGACTGGTACAAGGGACTTGCCCCGGGCTCCATCACCTCGTGGAGGAACTTGAAGAACCAGTTCATCAGCTCCTTCACAGCGTCTCGTCGCCATCCAAAGACTGAGGCAGCCCTCGAGGCCATCATTCAAAGGCATGATGAGACCTTGAGGGAATTCATCAACCGCTTCAACCGGGAAGCAATACAGGTCCCCTGCGCGGACCACATGAAGAGGTATTTGCTGGAGAGGGGCCTCCTCCCCGGCACCGAATTCAGGAAAGCTGTAGGCATCGAGCCACCTGCAACTTTTGATGCTCTCCTCGACAAAGCCCGAGCATATATGGACTACGAGGAGAGAGAAGCTGCCAACAGGGCACGAGACTCCAGGGCTCGCAACCACGGCAGCAGCTCGAGACAAGACCCTCCTCCCCGACGCACCGGAGAGAAGAGGAAGGAAGACAGACCCCGGGAGGTCCGGGAACAAAGGGGCCCCTCGGGCAGGTTTACTGAGTACACTCCGCTCACGGCTTCCCGCGAGCGTATTCTGGCGGAGTGTGCGAGCACAGATTTTAAAGACGGTGGCGTCAAGCGTCCCCGACCAGCTCCTGCCAAGCCAGGAGTAGACAAAAACAAATACTGTCAGTACCATAGGAGTCATGGTCACTTGACAGAGGACTGCGTCCACCTGAAGGATGCTATTGAAACCCTCATCAAAGGAGGGAGACTTGCACAGTACAGAAGAAACGACGCTCCCCGTCGCGAAGCCCGCGAGGAAAAAGAGCCCGAAGAAGATGCCCGACCATCTGACGAGTCGGTGCCACTCCAGACCGCCTTCGCGATAACCAGGCCCGAGGATTTCGAGCTTCCCGAACTCCTGCAGGAGCCCCTGACTACACATAGCAGATGGGAATACTTCCCCTCCGCCATGGTCATCAACGGGGGCGGGTTCAGCGACCTCACCATCAACTCAGCCAAGAGAAAGTTGGACGAACTGGTCGACAAAGCTCCTCCTCAAACCGTGACTTTTGAAATGGTGAGGGGCAGGTCAGAGCCCATCACATTCTACTTGGAAGAGCTCCCCGGCGGAGCACCGAACGCAGTCATCCCCTTGCTGATAAGGGCAAAGATGGCCAATTTTGATGTGCATCGCATCCTGGTCGACGAAGGGAGTTCCGTCGACGTGATGTACACCCAGCTGTTCCGGACCTTGCAACTGGACGACTCCCATCTGTCTCCATATATAGGTTCGGA